GGCCGCTTACGTTACCAGCGCATCTTTATTAAAAACCCCCAATAATTCACAGTGACAGCACCACAGCTGCGCCTGTGCACGCACACACAGACACAGGCACAGACAGACACAGGCACAGACAGACACACAGACACACACAGACAGAGACACAGACAGAGACACAGACAGAGACACAGACAGACAGAGACACACACACACACTCACGCACACGCACAGACACACACACACAGACACTCCGCGATGTACGCGAGACTTTGTGAAAAATAAATCTCTGTGGGGATCTAAAACCCACCCGGCACAAATGCTCGGAGCTATGTCCCCCAGGTCTGTAACCCAGCTGGCCCGCACAAAGGAGACACTGCGCTGCAGAGCTTAACCAGGCAGCTGCAATCAACCTTTGAGATCATTTGGCCTATTCTGACCTGGAGAGACAGCAGAGTTCTCTGGCAATAACTGACGTTATAAGTAGACAAGGGAGTGATCGGTGTCTTCCACGTTACTAACACTAGATGGCACGTGTTCTAGTTTTTTAAGAATAATGCTGTCTGGTTTATAAAGTTTACCTTGGTCAACTGACCAAATTTCTGGTGCAGAGTCTTCACCCAAACAGGCTTCTGAGAATGTTTCTATTTTGGACCAGTTATGGTCTTTTTTGGTTGTAAGATCTATTAAGAAACTTCTCCAGTGAGCATTCCGGTCATGAATCTAGGAAAAAAAAAAAAGGGGGGGGGGGAAACCAATTACATCTCCATTAGCAAAATCCCAGCCAGACCAGGACAAACAGCAACCTAAATAACTGAAGATTTAAACCAATGCAAAATCAAATAGTATCAAGGTTAGGTTGCCCAAGGAAGTTGTGGATTCCCCCCCCCTGGAAGTGTTCAAGGCCAGGTTGGATGAGGCTTTGAGCAACCTGGTCTAGTGGAAGGTGTCCCTGCTGATGGCAGGGGGGTTGGAACTGGATGATCCCTTCCAACCCAAACCTTAAACTCCCTTTAAGGTCCCTTCCAACCCAAACCATTCTATGATTCTATGAAGGTTAACCCCTGTGATACTGTGCTCAAATGCAGAAGTTAAACTTTGAAACGCACTAATTTTCTGATTCCACTGTCAGGGAACACTTCCAGGAGAAGCTCCATTTTTAGCATGCAGGCAAACATTAACTTTAAAATTTGTAACTGGAAAAAAACCCCTTATGTTCTGTCTTAGCAGCCACTTCAAGGACCCAAAGGTCTCTGAAAACAGCTGAACTCAGCAATCCATTTTTCAGCATATCACAATGCTGGAAACATGTAAAGTCGCATTCCTCTGGAACACAAAAATGTTATAAACCATCATGTTATGGCCTCTATGTAAGAGGCTTAAAAGACTGCAGAGACTGTAGTAATATAAAATGAGGTACCATTCCTTTTTTAAGAAAAGGATTCAGTCAGTAATAAGCATTTTAAATAACCACTAAGAGTAGATTTTTCTTTTGAAGACAATATGAGTTGGGAGATGACTGGTTTGACAGCCAGTAGTGGGAGCTACTGTGCTGCTGGATGGAGGGAAATTCTGCACACTTCAGAAACACATTTTTAAAAGCTGTCTGCAGAAGGTAGATCAGATCCCGAACCCTAATATTCATCACCAACGTGCACCCTGATTAAGGCAAGAAACTTCTCTTAGTAGTTCAACATCACCACGGCACTGCCTGCCACAAAGCCACCTGAGGGGCAGCGTACCGACACGTGTCTGCGCAAGGTGGACATGTCTGTGAAGGTTCTCTCACAAGCTCTGCATTTGTACGGCTTTTCCCCGGTGTGAATGCGCTGGTGGCGACGGAGAGCGCCCTGCTGGGTGAACGTTTTCCCACACTGCTCACAGAAATACGGACGGGTCTCTAAAATTTAAAAAACCCAAACAAACAACAAACCAGGAAGCACAGAGTTAGAAGGCAAGGTTCTTCTGGCCTCAATCTCATCAGACAAAAAGCAGAAAGAATTTTTAAAAGATCAATATTGGCAAAGCAGTGCACACAGGAGATATGTGCTTGAGGCCCTGCTTTTTAAGGTTATGTGATAAATGTTTCTTGTCTGCAAGCGAAAACCTGAGAACAGCTCTTCCAAGTGGAACAGCAGCAACTACAGCCGATCTCTGCTCCGACGTCCTTCACAAAACAGGCCTCAGTCTCCTGAGTAAGCATCATCTGATAGGACACGATAGGCATGATATCGTGCCCTGCTTAACAAGGCAGGATCAGTATGAGCCCTGCTTCTCCTCATCACCTAATTCAATGAGCTTGTAAAAGTGATTCTGGAATAAAATGTCACCATCCAAACTGGAAAGTACTTCAGACCCAAACTTCTAGTGCTGTTTATTTTCCCAGCCCCGATGAATTTGTTTCGTTACCTGCATGGACGTTACTGTGCTGGGCTAGTGAGGCTCTCAGTCCAAACGTCTTCCCACAAACCTCGCACTTGTAGGGCTTAGCGCCCATGTGGCATCGTTTATGGCATTTTAAGTATTCGTTGGTGGCAAAATGTTTTCCACACACATCGCATTTAAAAAGGCGCTCTCCTGAGTAAAGAGAAAAAGACATTCTGAATTCTTTCAGCAGAATTTTGTACTTCAAAGATATTTTTTCAAATGTCTTTCTATCCCTGGTAGTTCCTTCCTGGTACTTCAAGTCTCTTATGCGAGTTACAAAAAAAAAGCGTACACCTTCAAATCCCAACCAGCAATTTCTACCAGCATAAAGGGAGGAGATGGGAGGAACCAGATAGAAGGAAGAGAATTATTTAATGCCTACCTGTGTGGGTCCTTTTGTGTCCAGTGAGCTTGCCTTTATCAGCAAAGCAAGCCCCACAGTCCTCACAAATATATGGCTTTTCCCCTGTATGGGACCTAAATGGAGCGAAACACAAATGACTATTAATAAATTAGCTCTTGTAGTGTATTCTTAAAATACTGTACTTGAAAATACAGTATTTTTAGAAAAAAGTACATTCTGCTCACTCAGGAAATAGAATGTTTGCCAGTGTAGGTGCTACACTAAAGCACTAAACTTCTCATTTAAGGTTTACCTTTTCCTCACTCTCAGGCTCTACAAAATGCACCTTTCTTTCACAAGATACAGCTCATAGTATAAGCACCGGAAGGGAGAAAGCAAAGAAGATGACAAGCTGCTTCTGTGCTAGAGACTGAAAGTGCATCCAGACTGTCCCCAGCACAACACCAGCAGCAGATCTCTTGGGACACTGTGGGCCACATTCTTGGCTTCCACGATCCCTCCGTCTTACGTCCTCTGGCCTGCAAACTTTAATCTGCAGGATATTCCCATTTTTAAGACAAAAGGCACTAAGGAAAGTCAGGCAAGCAGTGTTTCTGAACACATGCTAAACATCTGATTTTAGACTAACTCAAACCAGAGCAAGTCTGGGCCCAGTGTTTGGTTTTAACACTGTCCTCATTTCCCTTATTCCAACCAAAATAGCACAATGTGCAAAAACATGCATCACTTTGAGTTGCCAGGCAAAATGCTGCAAACATGAGACAGCCAGTTACCCAACACAAACTCCAAGAGTCACTGTTTTGGTGCAGTCATATTGCATCCTACATACAGTGCAGCTCTGCTGTGTTTCAGCTGACAGAGATTATTGTGACATTTCAGATGTTTTGTTGGTCCTGAAGCAGAATACCTCACAATATTTAAAATAACTGTAAAAACACTCAGTAGACAGAAGAAAGCTACTGTCCCTAATATATGTGTCCATAGTCTCTGCTAACAGGATTTCTCTCACCTCCTTTAGCCCTCCAACCTCCTCTTATAAGCTATCTGCTAGGCTCCCTGTTTGAAGAAAGATGGGAAATTCCACGGGATGATTCACCCTCTCCTGGGACAGAACACATTTAACACAGACACGACCAGAGAGTGATCCATCCAGTCTAGCTCCAGTGACTACAGAGGGAGCCCAGATGAGAAGTCCAGCTTCTGTATTGCACACAAGAAATTAATTCCCACACTAAATGACTTGCTCAGAGTGATAAAGAACAAGCAGGGCTCAGCATCTGAGTCTCTGAGGTCCCTGACTAATTCTTCAGCCTATGCTACATCTCAGCAGTGAAGGCCATCATCTTATTTTTAAGACTCTCCCAAATGACTGGCTGTCACTTACAAGTTTGGATAGGGCATCTGTTTCAAAATCCCTACCAAAACTGATGCAATGACCAGATGCAGACAAAGCCTTTACGTAAAAGAATTAATCACAGATAGTACAGAACAAATTATATCCCAGTGTTCCTGTTACATGGACACGCAAGGAGAATGACTCAGAACTGGGAGTCACAAGAGGAAAAAGAAGTGTTCAAGTACTCTGGGCATGCAGGGAGTTCTAACGGGAGAAGCAGTACTGTGGGCTGACCTGGTATGGATCTTAAGTTGTGATGGTTGAGCAAATTTTGAATGACAAATGCCACATTCATAAGGCTTTTCCCCTGTGTGCGTCCGCATATGAAACACCAGTGCCGTTCGGGAGCTGAGGATTTTCCCGCAGACAGAGCAGAGAGGGCGCTTGACTCTGCCTTCGTGCTTCCGCATATAGTGTGTCCTCACATCTCTCTTTCTTTTAAAAGTAGCGTTGCAAAGGGTGCAGGCAAACTGCCTTTCTTCTGTGTGGACACACGCTCGATGCTCCTTCCAGCTGTTGTAACTAGCAAACGACTTGCTGCAGATGTCACACTGATAGACTTTACCAGGCAAGCACTGATGGACGTCTCTGCAGTGATCCACGTACTTCTTCCGGGAAACAAACTGCTCGTTACACTTATCGCACCTTATGACATAGGCAGATTTCTTCTTCACCCCACTTTTACTTATCTTCTTTATTTTAAACTCTTCATCTGATTCATGTTCATCACCGTCCTTCTCGTTAGAATATTCATCATCCTCATCGTCCTCCTCAGTACAGACCTCCTCATTATCTCTACTATCTTCAACTTCTGAATACCGCACTTCATAATTGACCTCCTCCTCGCCCTTCACACTCATTTCACCTTCATCTTCATTCCCTTCTTCACTCATTTTTTCACCTGCTTCAGCTTCCTTACATTTCTGCTTCTGTTCTTCTTGTTCATTGCTACAGTCTGCTTCAGTAACAGATGAACCCCTGGGTTCTTCCCCATGACTTGTGGCCTCTTGGTGCCTCACGCACTTTGGTCGTTCAGCCTCTGCTGCCCCATCCCACGTTTCTCTGTCAGGATCTCTGTCGTAGCTTGTTGTGTTTGCTCTGTGTGCAGGTGGAACTACCATCCAATAGACAGGCATAAGTTTCCCCTCTTGCCCAGACTCATGGATTTTTCTGTTAAAAAAAACAAACAACAGAGCACAACTTCAATAGGTTTAATTGTTTCAATTCAGACGTCTTTGCATCGGAGGAAGAGTTGTTTTCTTCTAATTGTTCTTCACATAATTTAAGAAATTAACAGCATGTTTGAAGAGCCAGGAACAGGGAACTTTTGTGTTGGACCAGTTAATGACAGAAAATTAAAAGGTCTCAGTTCATCAAGGATGGTGCCTCTTCAGTACATATATTTGTCATCTCACTAGTAACATGGGACGGACTGTGAATTTTCCTCCAAGGCCATGCTGGACAGGATAAGAAATTATGGACTTAAACCAAGGGAAATATAGATTAAATGCCTATATAGAAAAACAAACCAGATCCCCTTGTAAGCCATCAATTGCAGCAGTTAACTCTACTTATCACTACTCAGCACGTGGAACAAGCTATGTCATTGCACTCACGACACATCTGGGAATGTATTTTCTACTACTGGACCAAACTACAAACAAATTTTGGCATTTTTTACAAGGGAAGCTGGGATCCAGTAGCAAACCACCTATCTTCTGTACCACACAGGCAGGGTTCGGAGACGTCTGATATGTACAGCGGCATCTGCAGTTCTAGAAACTACTGCACAATTTCAGCATCATCTTTTCAGTCAGGCAGCGCTTAATAAGCCTATCTGGAAGCTCATGCTACCCAGCAAAACAGCAAGCAGGATATCCAGCCCATGAAAACCATACTAAAAATCACTACACTCCTGTGACATTTATGAAATGCGCATTTTTTGTTGCATTTTAAACAGATGCAAATTCTTTTCAGGCTCCTATTTAAAAACCCAAATCTGAGGCTCCCAAAATCACCTAATAGATTGGTTGGTTGCACAAGTCCCCTTTGATTCAACGGGAACCATCTGCCTCAATTCCCAGTCTGGGAGACCTCAACCCAGTAATCTGGAGCGAGAGTCTGATGAGGTCAAGAGAAAAAAATCTCTGCTTGTTTCAACATACTCCTGATCAGATCTCCAAGGAATTCTGGAACTAAAGCAGCGAGGACATCAGGAACGCTTTCATCCTGGTGCCCAGAGAGAAAGCACATTTTCCTGCACGCACAGACACACACACACAGACACACACACACAATGCTGTACCTCACATGAGTATTGTAAGCAGACCTCTGAGCGAAGCTGGCAGGGCAGCGTTCACATTTATAAGGTTTCTCCCCTGTGTGTGTTCGTATGTGGACTGTCAGGCCACACTTGGAAGTGATGACCTTGTCACAGTAGGGGCAGGCGTGGGGATCCCGCTTCTTCTCATGCACCCTGCGGATATGGTCATTTATGTCCTTCTGGCGCTTAAACTTCTTGTTGCAGAACATGCAGAAGAAGCCCCGCTCGTCGCTATGGACGGTGAGGCGGTGCTGCTGGAGGTTCTGGTGAGTGGAGAAGAGCTGCTCACACGTATCACAGCTGTACTTGACAGCCAGATTAACGTCATGCTTGAGCTCCATGTGTGACTGGTACTGCTGGATAACATGGAACGATTCATTGCACTTCTCGCACGCAATCTGCGGCAAGACCTTCGCCACATGCCGCGGTGATTTTCTACGTTCTGTCTTACTGGTAAATTTGGAAATTAAACTGGTTTCATCTTCCCACTGCTCGGGGAGCATATTCCCAATTACTACGCAGGCTTCCTTTGATTTGGCCTGACTAAGGAGGGAATGACTATTCTTGTTTTCCAGACTAACGATATCCAGGCTGACTCTGGTTCTGGTATCTGTCTTGTTACATTTCGGTAGCTTTGCTGTCCTGGATTTTGGTTCTGGAAAAGCAGTGTCCTCTTGCTCCAGGCTTGTTGGTTGGCCCTCAATGAACTCGTAGCCAGCCAGCAACTTTTTATGTTTTTGCCTATCCCAAAGTTTCCTTTGCACAGGTATTGCCGCAACTTGAGAAGAGTTACTGAGTTTGTGGTTCTCCTCTTGCTGGATGCGAGTCCACTGTGGGCCACCATTTTCACACAGTTGACCCTTCAGATGGAGGTTCAGATCTAAACCCTTCCTGCCCTCTGCTTTCACTTCTTCACAAATGTCAAGCAAATCCTTGCATTCAAGTCTTTCGGCTATTTCTTTCATCCGCTGCAGTTTTTCTGCTTCAATTTCCACTTCTGCAGTGTAAACAAACTCCAGAAAGGAGGTGAACTCTTCTGTGTAAATGTCTTGCAGAGTCACCGTGCAGTTCTTGGTGTCCAGCATCTCATCATGCAGGAAAAGCCCCTTGAAATAATTGCTGGAAGCTGCCAAGACAGCTTTGTGAACTAGAAACTCCTCCTGAATTCCGAGATGTTGTGTGTGAACTGTCACGTCACAGAGGTGACCAAACTGGTACAGAGAATGCAGTGCCCTCAGGAGGTTAGGAGCAGCAACTTTGGATTTCATTAGAATTTTCTTTTTATCCATCCTGCCAGAAAAAAACAGACAAACTTTTAATGCTTGCTCTACCTCTTCCATGAATTATCTTTTCATTCATATATGACATCAATCGCTCACACAAAAAGCTCAGCAGAGATCCATGTCCTAATTCCTAATTTACAAGACATGGTAAAGACCTCAAGGTTACATCTATCAGTACAACATCATCAGCAAACACATTTGGTTTATTATGGTCACAGATTTAGATTTACACTCTAGGATAACCCTTCAGAGAGAATACTCCGTAACACAGATGGTAACTGTACACAAAATAACAAGATTAGCCCAGCTTCATAATAAAACAATTCTTCATACAAGCGCTTTTCAACAGTAGAGGTTACAACAATTTACAGTGGAAATAAGCATCTTTCCCCACTCCTCCTGTACCGAGGGGGAACTGGAGCCTGGCAAATCACTTCCGATTGTTTCCAGGCTGCTGGTGAAACAGAGCCTGTGTTTTAACAGTCAGGCTCCACTCACTGCACCAGGCAGACCCTTGTGCCAAAGCAGGGGGATCAGTCTTTGGATCTGGTTCAATTTTGTTTCTGCTTTTTTCCCCACATGTAAACAATCAGACCTAGGGGTTAACAATGATAGTTAGTAAGCTTCTACTGTATTTTGCCACTTAAATAATATTCAGGGATGAACTATGTATCTATAAATAACTACAAATTTTTTGAGAATGTAACAGTGTTTTATTTGAAAAATTTTTCAAAATTGCTCCTTTCAATCAACAAACAGAGAGGTTGGAAGTTTTTTGACATTTTCAGAAAGAACAATTTGCATTTCCCCACCAGCTCTAGAGACAGACACTGGCTATTGTTACAGTAAATCCAATGCCTGAGAACTCTCTGGCTTTCCTATCTCGACCTGTGTATGACACCTACACGGCTGGAACGAGAAGTCTCTTCTACCCTTGCCCATAAAGCACAGCAATGATGCAGTCAACCTTACACTGAGGCCTTTAGATGCTCTCATCTGATCCTCTAACCTGATATTCCCAATCTAGTGTAGTTTTTTTACTATCTGTTATTTAGCACATGCTTACAATAGCTTTGTAACCAGGGGAAGAACATGAGGCCAAAATAAACTCACCAATCAGCTTATTATTGCTTAAAGGCTCCATTTAAGCTTGGCTTGCTCTGCTTCCCTCTCACAGTAAAATGACACCAAACTGTACTTTCACTTCTCATCTAAATTATGTTTGACATTGTATTAAATACGTTCCTGGCAGATATAAACTGTCTGATTAAGAAGACAGATCTGTCTTCAACATAAAGTACCAGGAAGTCAAACACAATACATAGCCTAGAGTGAAGAGGCTTGAACAGCAAGCTTAAGAGAGAGCTTTGAGAATACTCTTCCTATTACACGCTACCGCAGCAAGCACCGCAGAGGATAATCATCTTCTAATCTGCAAGGTCTAAGCCACTCAGTGCTTGTGACAACCCAAATAATGTTTTAAAAACTGCATTTAAAGGTTTAAACTGATTTTATAATGACCTCATTAAATGCTGCTGGAACACATACTCCTACATTTGTAAGAAATGGACAAAATTTCTATTAGATATAAAATGTCTGTAAATTTGAGTTATGCAGAACCTCAAGTATTTGTCCTTAATTGTGAGTTTGATCCTGAGTACTCGATCAGCTCCTGCAAGAAGTCTCACCCCAACCGATGGGACTGCTTGGGATCTCAGCTGGTGTAGAACCTCCTCACTACCACAATCCTCACTGCTAACAAGTTCAAAGATGTTTACTCAGAGAAAAGAAAACAAAAATATAACTATAGAAAAAATACTTAGGAAAAGTAACTAGAAGAAAAAGACAAAGTATGTGTTGAAATATCCTCCAAAAGCTGGAAATTCAGGAGGAGGATGTGCCAAATAGCATCGTCTAAATTCTATCAGAAAAGGGCTGCTCACTCCTACAAATGTACTGTAATTATCACACTCTCTGCCTTATGAATTCTGGCCAGCAGGGATCTTTAAAATGCTCCCAACTCAATATCTGCCAACTACTCCCCACCAATGATCACCAGCTACGTGGAAACACAACCCTAGCAGCTCCTACGGCACACTTGCAGGCTGCAGGAATAAGTGCAGACCTGGAGGTAATTACCAAATTCAGACCACAAACTCACAAAAGCTTCCACTTAATCTGTCCCCTGGCTTGCCCTTCTTCATGTTTTCCAACAGCATATCCTTCTCCATTTCTGTGCAGAACTGACCCTGCATTGTGAACCTCACTGATCAGTAGCACTTAAAGAAATCAATGAGCAGAGCTTGTGCTCATTTCCTCCTCCTCCTCCTTTTTTAAGATCCCCATCTGTGATAAATTCTCAGTACGTGCTCCCATGTGAGCTCTACTAACACTAATACCTGATACTGAGCCAAATGGAGAGGTAGGTTCCAACATCATCTCTTTCTTTCAGCTGGTTCTAGATTAAATCAGCCCAGAAACAGTTTTGCAATAAAATGTCTTCGCAATAAAAAAAAAATTGCCACAAATA